CTAAGTAGAGGTGAATTAAATAAAGCAAACTATTATTACCAATCCCACAAATAAACTACTATACAAATAGTTCGGTTGTCAGTTTTATCTTTTTTACCCTGATTATTGACACCTTGAAAATGCATATATGACTCGCCCGTCTGGAAGAGGTAAACTGTCAACTTTACATCGAGGAAGATGAAGTGTAACAATAGATGATCTATGCTTTAATATTATAATTATTTTAGAAAAGAGGAATATTTATACGAGTATATTTAAAAGGAGGAAGAGGAATATTTCTTTGTGCTTATCATAGAATAGTCAACATGCAAATGGAGTCGCCATGGTGTAAATCGTCAACAAAGTTAACTTACACTAGACAGTAACGCCTACTTTAATCTTCCATGCTTCAATCTGCAGTGCGGAGCAGCATTTGGAAATTACAATCTTTCTGAGTAAAAAACTGGTAGCTGTACTACTTTCATAGGCCGGGGTAATTATAGTTTGGTTAACGCCCAACGTCATATATTTTGGATAGTTCCTTTGTTCGAAAATATTCATTGTGATGGGAAACTTTTTTCAGAATTTTCATTTATCTGGGTGAATTAAAAGATTCTCAGATACCACAATGATTTAGTTATCTCTGACCAGATCTAGAATTAAAATGAGCAAGTACTTTTTGATCCGTCAAAGCCTTTTTGAATGCCCTAACAGTAGAAAAACCAATTAATTTCGATAATATATTATACCACCTTTTCCATAAAACCACCTCTTGTATCATTTCAATATATAAAGTCGGGACAAAACGGGTTAATTTAATTCTCCACAACGCAGTTCAAATTGAAATTTATTTAGTTACACTCTAAGCAATCATGGATTGGATATCTTAGATTAAAAGTGAAACTAAAAAATAAGTCAGTCGATTTAGTCATGCACAAACTTAAACTACCGCTCATTAGTTTTCTTCATCTTGATTCTAATTCCGTACGAATACATTTATGACTCGTCCGTCCCAAAGAGGCAGTGATGCTCAAGCGATTTTAGTAATCGGTTCTACTGGTATCGTAGTAATAGGTAATAAGTGCCTAATATGCACTTTTATAAATTTATTTCAATTATTTATATGAATTTTTCATGCATTGTAGTAGTCAACACAATTGTAAATCAATTTTGTCATATTAAGATACTAAAAAAATATCAAAGAAAGTCAGGATTTCTTTTCCACTTTAAATATGCAAGCGATTCCTTTTAGAGATTCAGATGCCACGCTACTGTGCAATTCGCATCGTAACTTTGCTTTTTCCACATTTATCATATCAGTATATAACTCCCTTAATGGATTCCCGCTATATTTTAGGTCTTTTCGCTATTAGTATAGTCCCGCAGTGGATTGATCGGCAAGACACGGTTCCCAGCAGTTCGCCTAAGTCAAGCATCACTGGCTACGGTCAGTGTGCGGGTGGGTGACCACATGGATCTGTCTGCGTAGGGACCAAGGGTGTGCGGTATTGGTCCTCGTTAAACTGTGCTACCGTAAAGAGCTCGACTTCACGCGCAGGTCATCGGGCTACCGAAGCGGGGGTGCCATCCCCTCCGCAGAGGATCAAAATTGTGATGGCATGTTTTCGGATCATCCTTCGGGATGTTTCCCAGATCGTCGCCAACAGCCCATTGTGCAGCTCTAGTGCGACGTAAATTAACAACAACAACACTATTAGTATAAACTGATTTGTGACTTCCGCCTCTGAGTTTTCGCTCGCCCATCTTTCCATTGTCAACACTACAGGTGCCCACGGGCTCAAGTTCATATGAAAGAGTCAATTGTCTGCTTCGCGGACAGGCACTCTGTAAGAAACACCAGTTCAAGCTCAAATTTACTGTGCAATTACAGATTCTGAGGTGAAATGTTTTACGTCCCTTACCTCGTGAAAGAAGTAGTGCCATTTTAAATGATTTAAGTAGGTTTCGAGTTCCATCGATTCTCTTAACACTAAACATACCAACACTTAATGTTTACCTATTACTACCATAGCCGGTCAAATGACAGGACTTGGTTTCTTGATTGAATGTATGAAATATGGATGTTAGGAAGGAAATAAACTAAAAAACTTTATTATAATTAAATAAAATTGTATATTGGCAATTCTTATGTATTACAAACACTATGAATTTTTAATTCATTTCTCAACGCATTTTTTACATATATAAAGTGTTTCCATTGTACATTTTCAGCGAACATATTTCTTCTAATTATTATTATTTCTATAATTCTTATAATTATAAGAACATATAAGAATTATAATTCTCATGATTAATATTATTTCTTCAAAGAACTTGTCTGTTTTGATTGTTTCGAAATATTTTTTTTTTGGTAAAAACTAAGAGTTATTCAGAAATGAAGTAAAGCTATCAAAATAAAATATAAGCTACTTACCCAAACTATTAGTTTTTGTCATTTTTTCTTACACAGAAGTGTCAATCTAAAATTTTGATATTTTCTTGAAATTATTCTCAGCTATTATGCTTGAACAACTTTACGCAACAGTCTTTGCAGAAATTATGTGCAGCTTACCGACTACAACATACCTGCCAACGTTTAATACCTCCCATTATCATTTTTCCCAGTGGTATTAAAATGGAATTAAAACTTCAATTTTAAGCAAACAAATACGTTGTATTTGAGACAACTTAAGTTGACAATCACTATGACTTGACTTGATAGGAGTTGAAACAAAGTACCTGCCCGCGGAGCGGGCATCTCACTTCTTCATCTAGTTGAAATGATAATAGTTGTGACTTGTGGCAATGAAGCCTCTGTAAGAAACTTACAGTCATATCTGTATTGACAATCACTATAGTAACGCATATTAATTTATGTGTTTAATTTTTGTAAGAATAGTGGCGATCAAGATTATCTAAAAATTAAGTTTATAAAAGAAAAAATAGTATATACTTACTACCATTTTAAATATGAAAATAAAATCTTCCGGAAAATCCGGAAGATTTGGCAGGTATGGTACAATACAGGGCTGAAAGACCATATGTATCGAGACGGAAAAGAGTAAAAACTGGTAACAAATAAATTTCATTTTTTAGTTTTTTTCGCAGAATAATAAAATTCCATAACTACCAATTGTTTTTAACGGATGCAAATTTTATATTGAATTGCTTCTTCGCCGTGATAAATTTCCTTACAGTAAATTGTTTATTGTTGAGAAGAGATTAACTCCTCCCGAATATTATCTAATATTGAAATAGTTCTTCTACCAGTATTTTCTCTTTTCCGTCCCGCTTTCAGGCCTGCTACAATACTATAAGCAATATGTATCGAAAAGCTTATAAAACAAAAAATGCTCCGAGGGTCTAATGACCCGACGTGGTAGACAACGGTATACGTCTCAACATAAACAAAACAAAATTTAAAAATAGTATAAGAACTGTAGATTAATTAGTAATAAAAAAACATAAATTCAAATTTGCAGAAGTAATAAGAAGATGCGTGCATTTTCAATGCAAAAGCTCAAAATGTATCATTTGACCCGTTAGTGTTAATTGCATATTCCGATACCTTTTCTTATACAGAATGCTTAGTCGACACCATTTTGTCTGGAAATTAACACGTTAAGAGCCACGTTACTTTTACATGACTTCATCTGGCCACGGTAAATAACTACAAACTAAATTTGCAAATATTAGACGGATTTTGCTATTTTTTTAGATAGTTTATCATGACGTATCTCGACGACGATCTGAATTTGTTAAGGTGCCAGCCCGCGTTAGCGGACACTTGACCTCTTAATCTGATATTATGCCCTAGGACGACTGGTACTATTGGCATAGGGAAGAAGACGTATCTCACAAAAGTGCAGTGATGCCAACTTGCTCCGGACAGCAAATATATATTTTAAAGTGGTAGTTTATCAATTGTGATTCTTGGTTTAATAAATTCAATTTAGTAGATTTTTATCCACCACTGTTTCTAAATAATTCGTAGGCTTATATAATTCCATACCTGCCAACTTTTACACATTAGGCGTAAAATTTTATTTTTATATTTAAAGTGGTAGTAAATATATACTATTTTTTTCTTTTATAAAGTTATTTTTCAAATGATTTAGATCACCACTATTCTTTAAAAAATTAAGCATATACCTTAATATGTGTTACTAAAGCAAAAAAAAAAAGTTAAAGCCAACACACCGTGCAAGCGGCAGTAGTAACTTGTTTAGCCTCGACGTACGTGAACGTGATAATTGCATTGATCTTTCGTTAGTAGCATTTAGGCCTGTCCGACATGTTAATGGCGGTCATTTGCGTTTGAAACCGATTGGTCGAAGCATGATTCGCAAGTAGGAGTCTGGCTTTACTAACATCTATTGTCCTTCGGGTCCTCGCCCAGTTTAGTTACTAGCGGAGACTGGAGATGTTAATTATGAATTCGAGATAAGTAATCTTAAAAACAGCGAGATGTTTTCCTCAAGCAAAGCACAGTAGACTTCATTTTTGTTGATTACTCTCAACTCTTTTTCAAGTCACCACGTCTTTTCCGCACCATGGCAATGTGCCATTTTTCTCCCCACTTCAACTTTAGCATTATGCTTTTCACCTTAGGGATTCACCTCAACGATCCTTACTTCATGATGAAGGGGTAAAGGGCCATCTTGGCCTCAGGGACCCCGACCAACCAACAAGACCAGACCAGTTAAAGCCACCATTCGCTCACTGACTGTGTCCGAGTTAGGTTGTATTATAACCGAGCTGCTGCTACCATGTCAACGTACCGATCCGGCCGCGGAGGATAGGTCTTCCGACCCGCACGCGAATGTATTCGCTACGACGAATTTGATCATGCCTTGCTTAAGGAAGAGGAACGAAAGCGCATCATGCCTATCTATAAGGAGAGGAACTATCTATCTGATGAAAATATTGAGATTCAACGTAGATATGCAGAAAGCTGCATGGACGTTCTTGGAAATCCCCTCTACAGAAACAGCTTCCCCGATTAAAGGAAACTCGTGAACATGTATAAAGATATCTACATGTATGAATTACTTGTGGAACTGAAGGAATCCGAACACCAGATCTCTTCCTCAGGTGAAGCCAAAACACCAACAGAGACTACTATGGAATTAGAAACTCCTAAACCTGAGACCATGGAGACTACTCCGGAGATAACAGTTGACCCTGTCCCAGTTGAGACAAGCAACGAAACAGATACAGACACCAAAGAGCAGAAAGAGTCAGAACCTGAACTAAAGGAGCCACCGACCAAGAAACGCAAAAAGAGAAAGAAAAAGACTCCCACCAACGAACCAGGAAAAGAAAATGACTCCACCACTACTGCCATACAGCAAGAAGCCCCAACTCCGGCCTCGGCTACAGATCGGACTTCTCCTGAAACAGATGGACAATCAGAAAATCTACATCCTTGTAGAAAATTGAAAATACTCATCAGAGGACTTAAAACCGACGTTGAGATTCCAGAGATTGAAAAAAGCCTAACAGACTTTGGACTACGTCCAATGAAAATCGAGCAAATGCGGAAGAGGCGGGGCCAGGAACTTAAGCTCATCCCCCTCTACTTAGTGATCCTGACCGACGTCCCAGAACACCGGGAAATCCTGAAAGTCGACCGGCTTTTGGATACACCTGTCCGAGTAGAAAGATTTCGTGGCGGCCGCTACGAAATACAATGCTTCAGATGTCAGGGCTTTGGCCACACCCAGAGAAACTGTACAGCAACGTCGGCCTGCACGAAATGCGCTGGTGCGCATTTCTCCTACCTCTGCACAAAGCCCCGAGACAAGCCTCCGACCTGCATCAACTGCCAAGGCGTACACCTGGCCTGTTTTTCAGGTTGCGGTGCCAGACCGAGGAAGAAGACCGCACAGAAAAAAAGGCAACACCGGAGTGCTGCCAGTTCAGCCACCAGATTCCTTCACATCGTAAGAGAGCTGCAGGAACTCCTGAAAGACGCGGAGTTAGTCACACTACTCCAATCTCTTCTCCCAGCTGCAAAGACATAGAAGTGGAGAGCCCACGAATGACGACCACAGAAATTCTTCTGTGGAATTTACCTTTTCTACAGTCATTATTTACAGTTGCCCTAGAGCATAATTTAGCCAGATGAAGAAGTGAGATGCCCGCTTCGCGGGCATTTACTTTGTTCAACATCATATTTGTTGGAGTGGTTTGTTACTCCTCTGAATACATTAAGTTAACAGAATTAAGTTTCGATCGTGTGGTGGCAACAGACATTTTCTTTT